TGGCGTTTGCTCCACAGAGAGAGACAGGTAGAATTACAGTCAGTTTAATTAAATGAGGGCTCTTTGTCTTGGTTGAATAAATAAATACAAACGGATAGGAGTAAAAACAAGAGGCTAGAATTGGTACATATGCGTGTAGTACCTCTTGAATGTGGTTAGGACACTGAGATTCAGCAGACCCGCGATGTAGAGAGTCAGTGTGGAGACCCTCAGCAGGGATTGACAAATAACATTACCAGGAGTTCACACCAGACGTGAGGCATCAGTAAGCACTTTTGAAACGTCCATTTGTTCAATCCACACAAATTTCAGCCTCCGTAATGGCATTATTGTCCTCAAAACCAGCTGTCCTGTCAGCAGCAGGGGGTCATTAGACAAACTTGGGACAGATGTCAAACATACTTAAAATGCTGCCTCTAGTGTTTATTTCTCTTGAGAATACTCTAGGAGTGCCTCGATTTGAATATAGTTTAGGTATAAGTCTGACTTATATCCAACTAGCTGAAGCAGGGCCTATGCATCTTGCTTCTCAGTACAAGCACACTGATTGTTGATTGTGTGGCTAACATATTGTTTGGATACAGGCTGATCTCTGTGTTCACTTTGACTCATGCCGTGTTTAGCCTATCTTAGCACAGTAAATAGCTCGAATGCATAAGCTAATGTTAACCGCTCATAAACCACAATGTCTAATTTTTTTACTATTATAATATGTAAAAATATGACAAATCTGAAGTTGTCCAAAGTCACTTTTGGCAGAACTAGCTTAACTGTTTGGTACTGGTTCCAGTATTTGTGCTAACTGGTTAAGCATGTTTATACTGAACATAAATATATCAATCTTCTTATCTAATTCCTGGTATAAGACCAAACATGCATATTTGCATATATTCTTTAAACTGAAATAGAATAAATGATTCCTTTAACCAAAGTACCTATATTTTTTTTACTTTCCAAGGATATAAATGTTGGTTTGCGCCATAGATCAGTTCGTATGTTCATACTACTCTCCAGTTGGGTGTACTGTAAGCACTTCCAACACTTTCTCGGGCATCACTTTCAACACCTTTGTTACATTGACATTTTGCTCTGACATTTAAACATATGCAATTATGCAATCACTGTGGATATGACATGGCAACCTGAATTCTTTAGCAAAGACTCTTTGTCAGGTGTACAGCATATATTATACATAACATAGTATGTTGACTGCTGATAATGACCACGCACATAGGTGGCAAATGCATGTGACCAGTACAATTACTGTCAGACTCCTACAGGTTTTCCTCATGGTAAAAGTGTTGAAAGATACACATCTTTTATGAATACTTTGTATACTGTTGGTAACCGGTAGTTTAATGTACAGCAATGCATCATATTTTATAAGATCATCATATGTTTGTAGCATAGCTGAACCACCTAACTCTTTTTTAAAAATTGTTTATTTAGCTTAAGAAGTGGCAGAATGTCTGGAGAATTGTAATATTAAAGTTGCTATACAAATATAGTGTAGTAAAAAGTAAAGCAATATTTGCCTCTCAGATTTAGTGGAGTTAAAGTATAAAGTTGAATAAAATGGAGTACAGGTACAAGTCCCTCTTATTTGTACAGTACCTGAGTAAATGTACTTTGTATTACTGTTGGGTGGTAGAGGAGAGGCTTGATAAAGACCAAAAATACACTTTTATAGGAGCAGGCCTTTGTCCTTGTACTTTCTACTTTCAGGCCATGAAAACTGAAGGCGCAGACTTTCTTGTTCTTAATATCCAGCCCATCAGGAGTTTATTTATAACCCTGTGTGTTCCTTTGTAGCACGGACCTGCACCTTTATGTAAAGTAAATGAACACACTTTGAAAATGAATGACATGCTGACAGGAAATCAAAGGAAAATGTAGCAAGTAGAGGAAAAACATATGCTCTTAGGGAACCAATTTCAGATGTAGCATATGACACATGTGGTATAGAGATGACGCCTCATCACATTTATATTTGCTTTCTTTTGAAATAAAAATGTGCCTCATTAAATCATGATAGTGTGAGAGAGTAAAGGGCTTGGAAATACTCATTTGCAATTTTTTTTTTTGTATAGCACCAAATCAGGACACTTTTCAAATAGTCCGGACTGTACTTGTTATAAAACAAGACCCAACAAGTCTCACCATGAGCAAGCACTTGGTTACAGTGGCAAGGAAAAACGTCCTTTTAAGAGGCAGAAACCACGAGCCAACCCTGGCTCTAATTATTGGTTATATTTTGTGAAAGAGCTCCTGAAGGCCCCAGTCTGTCCTCTAGTCTGTATAGATTTTTTGAGAAATGTATTTCCTTTGATGAGGTGCTACTGATTCTGATAAAGCCAAGTTGCTTTCTCATTCCCTGTGGTAGGCTAACCGTTTATCAGGGCGCTCTCTCTATGCTTCCTCAATCCTAATAATGGCAATGGAGAGACTCAGCGGGTCAAAATTCTCTTAGTGGTTCTATCATTGCTCATAATTGAGTTAATAAATTGAGGACCATGATTCAAAAGTGGCTAAATAGGAAATTGGGGGAGAAAATTAGATATAAAATGAAAAAGAGAGGGAGAAGGAATCTCATGCATGGCGGCAAGGGCAATTTAGAGTTACTGTCAGTTTTCAAGGACACGTCAGCATTTTGTGGTATTAATGAAATGAGCACCGGCCCAAGTCCTGATAATAGATTGGTTTTATGAGTCCAACGGGGGTAGTGAAAAATGTAACACTGCATCCATGTAATGTGTGTCAGTAAAGTCTCGTGTACTCTGAAGTAGAAGGAAGTACACTCTAATGTACTGTAACTTCTGTAACTTGAAAATGATCTAAACAGTGAAAAATCTGTTAGATTGAGGTACCTGTGGCTGGTAACCTTGTCTTCTCTGTCCCCTACTTTGTGTTCTTTGAGAAATAACTAGAGGCACTTCAGTCATAATTGGCTCATCAGGCAGTATATGTGACATTTCTAGTCACGACTATCAGATGAAAAAGTGAGGTGCACTGCATTTAAACCACCATTTGAAGTACTTGCGAATGGATTTCAGAGAAAATCTGAGACAGACGTAAAGAGAGCTTCTTTGTGAAAGCAGAACTCTAATTGGCAATCATTTTGTTCCCCCTCCCCTCCAGCCAATCAAGGTGTAGTATTGGGTTGGTGGCCAGCAATCACTGTATTTCAGCTGCAGGGTTTTGTGGGTAATTGAGGCCAGGAGGAGCTGTGGTGAGAAGAAATGTATAGGAGGGGCGAGCTTAATTCGCCTTATCGGAGGCAGCAGATGTGGTGGAAGACCCAGTTTAAGACCCTCTAATACCAGGACTCAGAGATGGAGTTGCAGGCAAAAGCTTCACAAACTCTCCTGGACAGCTATTTCACTGTAGATGATATCACACACGGTGTACTCCGCGGTCACTCAGATTGCTCAATCCAAGCTTTTCTGCTGCCAGTTTGACCAACGGAGCCCTTGAATGCAAATACCTGCTGTATTCCTTATCTGCAAAAGATGTAGCAGCAGCTCCGTTTGAGGGTCATAACACACAACATCCAACTCAGCTGCAGAAATTGCGACTCCTGGCCCCGGCAGAAAGTATGTGTTTTTCACAGGTCATAAGGTGTGATTCAAATGAGAGGTTGCCCAAGCAATGATTGAACCATGCAAATACCTTCCCGATTTCCAGCACCGGAACACAATCAGAAACAGTGAGTTTCATTTTTCAGGTGTGACTCATGTAAAGCCCTTCATTGTAAATCCTTCACTGAGCAGGGGATTGGATTGAAAAACTCAAACAAAACCACTTACAAAAAGAGCATCCTGGGGGCTTAAATGGGAAATACCTGTTTTCTTGTTTGTTATGAATAGAGGTGGGTATTTTTGATGTATATGTATACATATTTTCTATGGAGGTTCTGTGCATGGTGTCTTCTCTTATTGTTAGTGTATACAGTAAATCCATGGGTTATGTATCTGGTTGCTGCAACAACAGAAGGTGATATATATCTTCTTATGACTTTTATATGATGATATGATATTACCTCTCTGAATGGGCAACCTATTGAGAGGGTCTCAGAATATTAATATCTTGTCATCTGGCTAGATCAAAAAGTTACATTCAGGTTTCACATTGATACACTTGTCATGGAGGACATTTTACTAAAAAGTACATCCTTTATGTTCTCTAAGACAGAACAGTAAAACAAAAAGTGAACCTCATTCTCAGTTTCACCTCAATCACAAAGTCTGTCCTCCTCTGGAGCAGCATTAAACCCACCAGTTTTAATGGTAATGTTCCTGAACTCAAGGGATCTTCATCTTTGGTTTAGGTTAAACTTTACATGAAGTGGATTTTTTTTTAGGCCGGCTTCTTGTCAGTTCTGGATTATGGTGATGTTGTCTATAGACACGCCTTTGCCTAAACTCTTAGACCCCTCGATTCAGTTTATCACTCTGCCCTAAGATTTACTTGTCACTTATCTGGTTGTTGCAAGAACCGAATATTATTTATTTTTATGAATTTCATTTTCTTATTTGTCTTGCTAACTTTTGTTGATGTTGTTTTGATGATCTGTATCAGCTGGTTGTTGATCACCGGCAGGTTCCTGGATCCTGTTTGTTTAATAGGGCTTCATACCCACAAATGTCTCAGAAAGGCTGAGGAAAGCCTAGGGCTAGAATTTCTCCTGTATATAAACGTGGTGTATACTTGTTTGTGAGTGCTGACGGCTTCATTTGCTCTTTTCTGATTGGACTGAAAATACAAAGCCTCAGTGTGACCCATGTTAATAGGTTGCAAGCAGCACGGTGTTCTGTGTGTACAGCTACATTTGGTGTCATTACTCATGATTTTCTGGCCTTAATGGTATTGTAGCAACAATCAGTTGGTAAACGTCACAAACCAAGCAACATGAAAGAGACAAAATCAACCTCAATATCTTTCTCTTTTACGCTCTAATCTCCATTTTCCCCTCTCTCTCTCTTTCTCTATAGGACCTGGGTGGGGTGAGCCCTCCTCAGAGGAACTGGAAAGGGATTGCCATCGCTTTGCTGGTCATCCTGGTGGTCTGCTCCCTCATCACCATGTCTGTTATCCTACTCACACCAGGTAACACTCAGCCGTGACTGTGCTCTGCTATCTTGCGATTTACTCAAGAATCCCTCTGTTACATCTGCTTTTACCCTTTCCTCTTGCTGGTTTTGCTGCGACTACTGACATTTGTGTGTGAAATTTTTCACACCAATTTTGTCAACCCTGCTAAATGTACAATATCATCATATGTTGTAAAAATAACTTTGCTTGACAATAAGTTGCACTGAGATTTCTTGCATTAAAATTGATATTTGACAATCCTACTAAGAATTATTTCTTCACTTCTGATGTTTGTTCAACTTAAAGCTACATTAATCAATATTTTATATATGAACATTAGTTTTGTTGATTATGTTATGTGAAATGGGTCATTCTTGCTAAGGGATGATCAACAAATCTAACAGAGCATTTTTTCATCTTTCAACTCATTGTTTTGCTTTTACTGTTTTAGTTTCAGTGAGGTTCAGTCTCACCCTTTCTTTGGTTTACTTTGATCAACACGTGCTGCCTGACCGGCACCAGACGCCAATAGTCTCTCCTTATCTCCTGGTGCTGTTTTGTATCCTACACCTATACCCAACTGGGGCTGTATGTAAACAGTATTCACCTTTTTTACACTGGCAGACAAAGTTGCAGCTAGCTTGTGAACACGGAGAAAGTGGAGAATGTAACAGCCAAAGAGGCCAATATTTCTCTCGGGACTTGGTGGAGACCAACAGAGGTAAAATGAGAGTGAATATTGGACTTACAGGTCAGGTTGCCAGAAACACGACTCTAAATGAATGCTAATTTTGTCTGTTGGATGTGCAAATAGGGAAATGTTTGCCCAGTAGTTATCTATATCAACTTTAAAAGTCATAATATGTAAAATGTGTGTGGTTTTTAGCTTATTCTTGAGTTCTGCCTTAAAGTATTCCAAAAAAACAAAACAAAATGCTGATGCTGATGCTGCTTTAAAAATATCAAAATATCATGACTCTGTCATCTATATTGAGTATTTTTGTACACCAGTGCTCGCCTTCCGTGTTGCCAGAGATACCCACACTGCTCAAAACTATTTAGGGAACTGTGAGACACATCAGACCACCAACCTGGTGTCTCTGTATGACACAGTAGTTTGATCCAGTTAGCTGATCAGTATTCTTTTGCTACTTGTACACTGTATACCTGCTTTCAGAATTAGGAAAGAAAAAACTCCAATGTTACTCAGATGTCACAATCCACTGCCCGTGCAGCCACACTCTCCCCTGAGGTATTCTACGCTTGGTTAGACTTTCATTGCCTCCATAAACAAACATGTTGTGTGGAGTTATCAAGGAAAGCCAATATGGCTGACATTCAAAATGACTTGGCCCTCCTATTCAGCTCACAATCAGCAGCTGTCCTATTCAGAAGGAGCTTACAATTGGAAAAAAAAAAAAATTCTGCTAAAGGCGTAACATTTCATAATTAAAAATGAAACATTTCCAGGGGCAACATTGGAACAGCTTGAGGATTTTCTAGCCCAGTAATGATCATGTTAATGAACATATGAAATGCTATTCTGACAAAAATATTGTCAGTGTGCATATTTTCCATGGATTTGTTTGTGTGTGCAAGTGCCTTTATGTAAATCTGGATAAAAAGGACACGCAACACACCTGTCTGCCAAGCAGATGTAAATATCTAGCTTTTTTTTTGTCTTGTAAAACAGAGAAACCTTGTGGCCACTGCGAACAGTCAATTTTAATTGTAGCTTTTAGCAGATTGCAGGGATAAAAGGATATCTTTAATAAGGCAGAAGTCCAATTTAAAACCTAAAGTTTAAAGCTACATGAATCAACTTTTAACCCTTAGCTGGCATTTAAGTTGCCACCTGACTAATGTAAGTTTCCAATCCATTATGCTCTGTTTTGGTCTCCATCAACTACTGTGAAAAATATCTTTAGCTTGCTAGATGTTAGCTAGTTGTTAACGTTGTCTGTCTTCTGTTTGGTACTCGGTGGGTTGAGTACAGTGTGTTTATAAGGGGTTGTTGATGTAAACAGCTGCCAAAAATTAACTGTACATACATTACATATGCAAGCAGTCAGACAAAAATCTAAAAGGAACTAAAACACTCTGTACAAGTGCAGAGCTGGCTGATGGTTCTCTATGGGTTTGTCTCTATAATGCAAATACGAATAGCCTATTAGACCAAATTAAACCACCATATTATCCAATCTTTGCATCATGTTATGCAATATCGTCTTATATTATGCCATGAACTAATCTTAACTTGCTAGTTAGCTGCAAAGATGACAAGCTGCGGATTATCCTGAAGCATATGTGCATATTTTTATTCACATGGCATCCCATTGGTTAGACTATTCCTCATTAATCATCTCACTTCAAAAGCCCCATCTGATCTGGAGTCCTCACACAACGGCACCCATACCAAGTTTGGATGCTACAGTGTCACATAACAGGGGGCACAGGGAATCGCTTTGCATCATGTTTTTATTGTACAGCTTTGGACCACCCCATCTCTGTGTCAAGCGGAGGCATGCCTCTTTTTGCAGGTTCGAGCAACAGCCCCTCAAAATGTGCACATCTCTGACCTGCACTAGCTTTGTTTTGAAAGCTTTCTCTCAAACACATGCACACACCGTAATGTATTCCTAGGATGCTTTCTAAGCCTAGTGTCTTTTCCGTCGTTTTAGGAGGTGACTTTGTGTTTTGGGTGTTTTGATGTCGGGAAAACATTTAAAAATGCCAGTGGTGGAAGTGACTCCCAAGGTCAGCTAATGCTGGAGATTGATTTCAAACTGCGTGCATGCTAGAAAGCTAATGGGCTTGCTACTGATGTTTGATAAGAGGAGAGAACTTGACACCCATGTGGTACCCATATTTGACTAAATGTTAGGCAGCTTAACAATTCATGGCTTGTTTTTGCAGTTGACACCCAAGCTGGAAGCGACACCAAACTGACTGTGGAGGATCTGTTTAAACCTGAGTTCAAGGCCCATGACCCGGAGGCCAAATGGATTAATGGTGAGTGACCACAATATTGACTGTATCTGCTGGAAATCAGAGCAGCCATGTTAATTGTTTCAGCAATGGATGAAAATGAGTGTAGCACTGACAAGGATGAAATATACATGAAAATGCAGGATGTATTTTTATACAATGAGCATTGGTCTTGAAGAGATTTCTGCTTTTATGAGCTATAATTTGAACTTTTATATTGAGGCTTGTTTCTTTCTCCTCACAGATAAAGCTGTCATAAGGTTTTATTGTTTGCTTGTTTCAAAGAATGACAAAATCAGCACAAATTTGGCATAGTGATCATTACTCTTGAATTATACAATTACTTGAGTGGCAGCCTCATAAACTGCCTACATTACTTGTTCCTACTTCATGCTGCTGTATGTACATTTGTACAAAACACACCTTGAATCTTACTTAACATGAATGACATTTCGATGAGTTCAACAACAGCGCTGCTTTTGTTCAGCAGCAGAAGGGTGACATCTCTCTCTGCTGTCTCTCCTGCTTTGTAATTGAGGCTCACTAAAACAGCAAGCAGACAGTTCAGTTTTAAACAAGGCTAGCATGTTTCACCCTAGCTTTACCTTGCATGTAGTTATGCAAATTCAGGTGTTTGGGTTTATTTTCCCTCTCCTTATTTACATTCTATTGATTCCTTATTTGCCAGAAGGGGATCATATGCTAAGCCTGGAAGGTTTGGATGGAAATAAACCACATCAAGTGAAGTGCAAGAGAATCTGATTATGGTTTGCTTATGGGGAAGGAGAAGATAACGATACCTCCGAGGGAAAGGATGGACGGGATTGTGACGTTCCCGCTCTCCGTCTGTCTCCTTTCCTGCAGATTAGTGTGTTTGTTTTGGCTTTCCTCCTCGTTGCCCATCAAGTGCGTGACTCTCACTCAACGCCCGAGGGCAAGGGAAAGAGGCAAGGCCTTTCTGTCCATCAATATTTCATTCCCGGGTGACATTTTTCCACTATCTTCACAACACCATCTCATTCCCTGAGCTGACCTCAGGCTAGACAGAGAGAGCACCGATGTTGTGCGATGAGGCAGTCAGAAAAGTCAGCTTTATAGGGTGGTTTGTGGATGGATGGGGCAAAATAGACCCCAGACAAATGGGAGAAGATAACAGACAGACGGGCGAGAGGAAAGATTGATCACTAGGATTTGGAGCAAAAATTAGATTTTTTTTCCTAAGTCAGAGGCTTTGGAGGTTTTGGCTGGAAAGTCTTTCATCTCTGTCTACATTAGAAATAATCTAAATGGGTGTATCATGTGATCTAATGAACAGTCCAGTACAAATGGGATGCAGTAACGTAGTTTATTTCAGAACTACCCAGAAACATTTTTAAAAAATCATACTTTTAAGATGACATTAGTTGAAGTAACATTCCAGGTGTCACACTGTTTGTGATTCTTGAATATATTACAGCTCTGCCAGTCTTTTCGTTAAATTATATAAAACTAAAGAATCAAGTGATTGCTAAACAGTAAGCAAGCAGTGGTGCGATACATTCACGCTTCAAGTTAAAAGGCAAATTTGCTGAAACACACTGTGTCTTGGTTTGTTAGTGTGAACAATTCTGAAAGGCAACAGTGTGTCATTTCATCCCTTGGTCCGCATCAAATGAACCATAGAACAATGATAAATATCCTCCATACTGGTGACTTTAATTTAGACCTCAGTTAAATGAGTGCCAATATAAAGTTACAGATGGATGGGTTACTACAATCTGACATTACAAACTTGATGATTAGTCAAATGGAGCGCATCATTACGGGTAAGATTTGCTGCTAATAGCACTGTGATTCATCAGGTACACCTCCATCTCTCTGGTAATGGAGCCAGTTTTTCACAGGAAATTGTTTCTTTGAAATGCCTCACCTCTTAAACACGGTGATGATGACAATGACTATAACCTCCAATTATCTGCAGTTTGGACTGTTGAATTAGCATCTGTTGATTGGATCATGCATCATTAAATCAATCACATCAGTTAACATTGCTATTAGATTATACAGTTATTCTACAGCCTTCTTTTAGGTCATTTCACGCAAATCTGCATATTTACTATCATTCTTAAAGGCCTTTATTCATAGAATGTCACTAGTCTGCAGTGGTGCCTGACATTTATGTGCTTCTGTGTTACATGAAATTCATTGTCATTCTGATGTGGGTATGTTATTGATGAAGATCTGTAGGGAAATTATAGGGAGACATCTGGTTAATGTCTGGCACATGTGTAGAAAAAATGACATGCATCGTCTTCTCCAGCTGTTGTGAGTGCATATCTGTGTCTGTGCGTTTGTTTTTCACACCAGTGCAAGTTATTGAGACACATTCAGCTGCCTCCCCACATGATTCAGTCAGCGTCACTCTCTATCAGTATTTGTCGCAGGCTTCTTGCACAGGCTGGGCACCCTTAGCCTGTCATTGACAATCTGGTGAGAGAAGGGCATCATATTGTGTTCACATTGGCCCAGCCCGGAGAAAATAACACAGCAGTTGGCTCACTTAAGCTCTCAAAGCCAAAAACTGTTCTCTCAATAGACAGTCAGTGAAGTGGAGTAACATTTTTCTGAACAACTAAAATAGAAGGAGCCTGTCTGTCTATGTCTGTTTTTTTATTTTCTTGACAACCGTTCATCTGATCGTTTTCACACTTGGCGGATGTATTGCTGAGGACACAAGGAAGTGGAGTGTTGAGTGTGAAGAAGGTTGGATTAGCAGTTCTTGAGAAAGCTGAGAAACATTGCCCTGCAGAGCTGAGAGCCCCAGGAGATCCCGACGCAGCAGTTGCAGATGACAGTTTCAGACTAAACAACAGTCGGATAGGGTTGGCAGTCTTTCTCTAACGAGGCAGCAGCTAATTTGGGTTTAATAGCCCATGTAGTGTTTAACTTAATGTTATTAAGCTAATGTTAGCTAGCTACCTTAAATGAATAATGTGAGCCTATCTTTTGTAATGCCCTGGGAACTACCTAGGCCTATAACTAGTTGGTTAGCTTCAGCATGAATTCATGAATTTTATCAGTGGTAATGATGCAGCCGCCAAGCAATCAGCCCATTCCCAACAGGCAAGTTTTGAACTGGCACTGCACCTTATTCCAAACACAAAATATCCAGCTGAGCAAGGTGTGCGCGGCTCCCAGCAGAGACAAGGATCTGTTCATAGTCATGTTGAAATTATACCACCAATATGTGCACCTTTCACTACAGTTTCAATGTGTTATGGACATTTTTTTTTCAGATTAAATTCACTCTTCTGTGCACTCTGACAAATACCATACAGTAAAAGCCTTGTTAACAAATGAGTGGACAAAGGCAAACTCAGTAGAGAAAGATAGGGCTAGCAGCAACAGTGCAGCAGCAAAAACGCTCTGTGTGGACACCACGGGCGTGCAGGCCGCAGTGGTTCAGTGAGTCAGCTGTCACACATGCTGTGTGGATAAAGGATACGAACATGCAACATACAGCATTCTTCCAACATTTGTACTGTTGATTGCCTAAAGGTGTTTTCTGACTCAAAATAAAGTGAATATCTGCTCAGTCGATTCTTCCCAGTTCAGTTTCTGAAATGTTCTCAATTTGTTGTTTGAAGCCATATAATTCAGTTTTTGCTTTAGAAAGATACATTATAGTATATCAACACGTATATAAATGCCTTTTGAGGACCAGGTTTAGGCAAACACAAGAGGTCAGACTTTGTGCACACGTGTATGCAGCTGTGCACGTATTCCTGCCTACTCATACTAATCATCGCTCACCTCAATAAATGGTCACTACCACAGTAATCTCTGTAAATCCATATTTGAGCCTTTAGCTATCAATACTGTTTACCTCATAATTACCATTCGACTTCACCCAATTACTAGTCAGCTGCATGGCCTGTCAATTCTCTTCGTTCACTGCAATCGAATTCATCTTATTTATTACATGAGAAGCAGGCTTGTTTCTGACAGATTAATAAATCCCTGCCGGACTGTTTGGGTGCATTAATTTTTCTGAGCAGCTCTCAGAAATAAACACATGTAATTATGTGAAAACGAAACTGGGTGCTGCTGAAAAGCTCTCCTTAAATTAAGTGTTAGGAAAAAAAATGCAGGGCATCAATGTAAGTTATTTATTTTCCTGTAATAGATTAAACAACTACAGTATCTCCATAACACATTTTTACATTACATTAATGAGTGTTAATGAAATGTGCCCTGTTTACTAATTGTAAAGTACAGTTGTATATTTGTTTTGTACCTTTCTGGGCTAAGCTGTTGCTTCCTTTGAGGACTTCTCCATAAATGCAAGACTTGGTTTTGCTTTTAAGCAACAGCATCTCCTTACACGTGTATGAATGTAATATCTATGTGACCACATAATTATTCAGCACACATTTATATACGTACATGTCAACTTTAGACATGACTCTCCTAAGAGGATGTGTGATTGCTTTAACAGGTAAAATTCCTGCAGTAACATTGAGTGGATAATGGCACTTAGAGGTGTAAATTCAGTAATGGACAGTGATATCTGCTGAAGAAAGTCATATCTTCGGTCGAGTGTATAAAGTCCTTGACGGTGATAAATGCTTTCCTGCTCTGGACTAATTACTGTCATGAGCCGACTAATGCCGTTTCAACTAATGGAAAATCCCAGTTTCAACACATCATCTGCTTCACTCCCACATTTGTGTAGCGCAACATCCCTGCTAATACTCTATATCATGTCTGAATACATGTCTGGTATTTGATATTTTTTCCTGCAAGTCTCCTAGTCTTCTGCAAATACTGGTAAATCCTGTGAGAGTAAATGTCAGAATCCTGTGCTGTTTGAAAGGTTTGTATAAAAAAAACATTATCTGTGTATGTGAATGTTATTTATTAACACATCATAATGAAATAATAGCTCATTTTGATTGGCAGTCCTGACTCTACTGGCTGACCTGAGACGGGCCAAAGGAAACCTGGTTGCTGAAACCAGCCCCCTATGACGGCACGCGCCTGTC